AAAAACTTCATAGACAGAAGAGAAAAAAATGACCTTGTACAAATTGGAAAATACATCACCACTACAGATACCCTGCTTAAAGACAACACCAGCACTTTTGAGAAGCTGTCACAAAAGTTAAAGATGCAAACAGATAAATTAAAACAAGAGCTGGACATGCTTACAGCACAGACACTCTCTCTTTACCACAAAATGGAAGAGGACAATACCAAGCTGATAAAGGAATACAAACAGGACCTCGAGATGTATGAGAAGCAACTCAAACAACAAGTTCAAGAATGTAAAGCAGCTCTCCAGCGTGGTTCACACATACAGATCTATGATGCATATTGTGAGATCCATTCTCCTACACACAGTCTCCCTGTAAAACCTGTCCTGGGTACTGCCAACTTCACTCCAAATAAACGTCCTCAAGATCCCTTGAAAAATGCCTTGGGAAAAGTTATCACCTCAGGTCAAGGTCAAACTCTAACTGACCAGGATCAGTCAGTCACAACATCTGATGGTCGGGGACAACCCTCTACACAACAACAACAGTCAGGAGCAAAAGTGAAGAAAGCAGTGACAACATACAAACTACTGCCACAGACCAAGGTAGTGGAGGAGTGGAAGTCTCCATGTTACATTGATTCTATATGTCCCACCACTGATGGTCAGGTGTGGACCCTGGGCTATAATACATTGTCTCTCCTGGACAGGAAGGGTAAAGTAATACAGACGGTCAAACACAATGCCAGGATCAATGATATCAGTCTGTCACCCACCACACACACACTATGGGTCTGTGATAATAACAACAACATCATGGAGCTGGTATCGGGACGACTGACACACAGATTCCGTACCAAGGAGTTACCATTGTGTATATGTATTACAGCCAGTAACCATGTCATTGTAGGGATGACCAAACACATCTCCAAATTTACCACAGATGGTAAAATGGTGTGTACTACAATGACTAAAGGGACTGGGAAACCATTAGTGTGTACACCACACAGTATCTCAGAGTGTCCTGTCACTCACAATGTGGCAGTCGCTGATTTCAGTCAGGAAAGTGATGGTTGTGATGGAAAACGACATGTTGTTGTGATGGACACTGATTTCAAGGAGCTGTTTGTATATAGAGGTGACATCCCCAGTACATATAAACCAACACCACAAACAGGAGGTGAACCATTGAACCCCTGTGGTGTGGTGTATGACAGTGGGGGGAACCTGATCATAGGGGACTGTAACAACTACAGGGTCCTACTCATCAGTGGAGGTGGTGAGTTCCTCAGGGTCATACACACAGACACAAGCCATACACGGGCTGTAGGTATAGTCAGGGAGGATGTCCTGTGGGCAGTGTTTGAGGAATTGTTTGCGTACAATGTCAAACTACTACAGTACAGCAGTGTATGACACCTGTAACCAAACAACTAGTATATCTAGTTACCATGACAATGACATGGAAATTAAAGACAAATTTCTTATTATGATTACCGATCAGCTAACGGTGTGTGACATTCACAGGATTTTAAGTATTTAAATGTCTAGACTTCAGATTGTGTGGCATTCACAGGATTATAGGTAAAATGTCTAGACTTCAGATTGTGCGACATTCACAGGATTATAAGTAAAATGTCTACACTTCAGATTGTGTGACATTCACAGGATTATAAGTAAAATGTCTAGACTTCAGATTGTGAGACATTCACAGGATTATTAGTAAAATGTCTACACTACAGATTGTGAGACATTCACATGATTATAAGTAAAATGTTTAGACTACAGAATATTAGTAAAAAAATTGACAGCAATAGAAATGTATGTTATAGGACCATAACAATATTTGTTAAAATATTCATTATTTATATTTACATTTTGATGTGGTAATTACGCTTTATTTAGTTATTTCTAACAGTTCTGTGAACGGCAAATTAAGTCTTGACAACAAGTTGATGACGTCACAATAGAAATTGATGACGTTACAATAGCAAGTGTTATATATAGTCTCATAACAACATTTGCCTTCTCAATGCATTGCAATGGAAGGATGCAGAGCTAATGTAAATACACACATTTATTGTTGCAGTTATTTAGTTTTTGATAAACCGGTAATACCAATAAACAATATTTATCACATAACTGACCTGTTTTACTTTGCTATATGAACATGTCATGAATATGGTAATACACACGTGTAATAAAACCTAAAGGTGCTGTGATTGGTCAAAACCTTGTCATTGGGAACGTATTCCTACGCCACTACAGGTACTGTACTGTTATTTATTACATCATTGTTCCAAGAGATTCTGCAACATTTTATAATGTAGAAGTGTCTAGAATTGATTTTAAAGTTGAACTTGAACGAAATAGTAGGGAGAAGGTCACTGTTACACTGAGGCCGGGCAAAAACATCAACCGGAGCAGACATCAAACTTGGAAGCTGGGGCTGACAAACCCTATACAAATAGATTTGTTACCGTAAATGAAGATGAAGTGGGAAATTTTATCTTCAACCAATCTAACAAATTTTAACACTCTGAGCAAAACATGCTGCGATCTGAAACTGTTGTATCAATTTTTCAAGCTGTCTGAAGTCAATGAAAGTAGATCAATTTAAGAGATTCCAGAGGGTTCTTGGCACCCACCAATGTACCATCTTCTTGGTGCCCAACATCGTACCATCTTCATTTGTTCTATGTCAGTCTGATCTGTTCTCATTTTTTCTCCGACCTGTTTGATCGATTTATGTAAACAGAAAATGCACCTTGACGTAACTTTTGATCTAAACATCATACTGCAGTGTATAAAAGACAACCTTCAAAGTGAGTTTGTCGTTTCACATATTTACTAGTACAATACTTAATGTGACAGGAATAGAACCGATCATTGCAATATGAGAAAAATCTGTAAAATACCATTCCTGGGAAATAGTGATAACATTAAAGATTCTTGAAATGTCGAAATGCAACATGACCGCCTACGACCATCGGATTGTTTTAAGATGACCGCCTACGACCATCTGATTGTTTTAAGATGACCGCCTACGACCATCGGATTGTTTTAAGATGACCGCCTACGACCATCTGATTGTTTTCAATCAGTCTCAAAATACAGTTGAACCTCGTTATCTCGAAGTCGACCGGGTCGTGGAACCAGATGTCCTGTATCGCTCACCTGGATATTTAAGCAGTCATAGCAAAATATTTAATAAATATTATGCCGTACTACAAATATCTCCAAATATTGGCTCTGTACGTATCTCAGTAATACCCTTACCTTATTGGGTCCCATTATCCTGTCCCCATGATTTCTTCAAAATTGAATCATGTTAGGCCAAATAAGATTAAGATAAAGCTATAGGATAAAGTAGGTAAATTAAAGGTCATTCTCATTCGCAAACTGTGTTGGGCTCCATCTAAGGAAGCTTCCTGTTAAATATCACCAGTCCATGCCTTTCACTTCTTCAAAAGAAGCTGTTGGCAGTGTTTGCTTTATTTGACCCCTGTGACCTTGAAAGAAGGTTGAGGTAATTTTTAATAGCAAACTTTGTTGGGCTCAATCCCAAGAAGCAACCAGCCATATAATATGATTTATGCATTTCCATTATTCAGACTGTTGTTTTATAAGTTTGACATATTCAACCCCTGTGACCTTGAAGGTGGATCAAGGTAATTTTCATTCACAAGATCAATCCCTAGAAGCTACCAACCACATATAAAGATTCTATACCTTCAAGTTCCTCAGAAAAAGTTGTTTTTAAGTAGTTGACACTTTTGACCCCTGTGACCTTGAAAGAAGGTCAAGGTCATTTTTGTTAACAAAAATTGTTGGAATCTTACCAACGAAGCTAACAGCCACATATTAAGATTCTATACCATTCGGTTCTTAAGAAGAAGTTGTTTTAAAAGTATTTGACACTTTTGACCCCTGTCAATTTGAAAGTAGGTCAAGGTCATTTTCGTTATCAAACTTTGCTAGGCTCTTACAAATGAAGTATCACCTAAATATCCTGACTCTAGCCCTGTTTGTTCTCCAGAAGAAGTTGTTCAAAGGAAAAGATGGAGGACACCGGACGCCGACACTGCACCATTGCATAAGCTCACTAGCCCATGGGGAGGTGAACTAAAAATTAAGCTCAGTTTGTTTTATTTTTGCTGTTACCTGTGATTCGAGTTACAAGGGGCAAACTGGACCCTGAAGTTGGGTGTCGTCCTGATCGTCACCATCAATCGTTTGTCGTCCTGGATACGTAGATTAGTTGGGTACAAGGATTCTGAAACTATGGTCAGCCACGTGAATGTTAACCGATTATATTGATTTTGGTGAAAACTTGTTAATTCACCCACATCCTGCTAGTCAGACCCAGGAGTTGCAGTCGTAACCTGCCTACTTTTAGGTCTCTCGACAGTTGACTGAATCGCCCGCATATTTAGCAATTGACTAAAATGACCAAACAATGAGCATTTACTGATTATGGGTGTACAACTCCACAAAGTATTTGATTGGATGTTACCGCCTGTAATGTTATATCACATGTGACATGTTGTGTATACAATGTTTGATTTATTAATGGTCAGCACTTTGATTGCTTGGTAACTCAAACATTGTTCATAATGGTATTTAAGGATAAAATCAGTGTCAATATTAGGCAATCTTTGAATATTTCATGACTAACCTCTGAACTTTGACCGGGGTGCTGTGGTGATACCATTTTGCCACAAGATGGCGGTGTTGTAGACAAAGCTGAGCTCCAGGTCGGTCTGCATGTTGACCGCCGTCCAACCTCCAGCCTCGGTAATTGATATAACGTACATTACAGGTGGTAACATCCAATCAAATACTTCACAGAATTTAGAAACCTATCATCATTTCGTGTCAGACACGTACAACGGAACAAACATGGTCACTCGGGGCTGCTTCATGTTAATTGGCTGGAAGTAAGAAAGAGAACATATTTCATGACAAATTTGGTCATCAATGCAGAGGCAGACATCTTCAAACCTGGTATTTTAATATTTCATAGAAATTTTTCTGTTATAAGTATTTTGGTCATTTTTTTTCTTTTTATCACATTTTAACTCACTTTGAAAAGGTGTAAACAGACAATCTTGAACACTCACCTGCCCATCTGTGGAGATTTCTCCTCCGCATACCGACACAAGCTCGGACATGTCAAAATAGCCATCAAACTCCCACAGGCACGACTCCAAGTCTAAGTTCCTGTAGGCATAGTTATATATCACCATTATAGTCTCAATCACACGAAAATAAAAACATTCCAGATTTAAAGAATAGCAAATCTGACTGAAATTTGTTCCTATACACTATGTTTAAACTTAACTGTGATTGGATGGGACAGGATCGGACAGGACAGGACGGACATGGGCAACACTATATGCGCCCCCATTTTATGGCGGGGGCATAAAAAAGCAATTGGTAAATTTATCTCAACAGGAAAATTCAGGAGATACAATTCAAATTTGGTGTTTTACGAGAGGGATGATGCATATGCAATTATATTGGCGTTATTATTAACTTATCATTACAGTTATTACCTGTACCCCCTGACTTACCTGTAGAACCTCAGTGTTGAATCACCCCACAGTGTCGAGCTAAACTGGTACAGCTCTAGTCCTAGGGAGTTATGGTTCCTGGTATCATAACTTATTATTACAGTTATTACCTGTACCCCCTGACTTACCTGTAGAACCTCAGTGTTGAATCACCCCTCAGTGTCAAGCTAAACTGGTTCGGCTCTAGTCCTAGGGAGTTATGGTTCCTGGTATCATTGGATACAAAGCCAAACCCAGAGGTCACTTGAAGGTCACTGATGTCCAGCAGGTTGGAGCACTTCAATCGAAGTTTGAGAGCTGACGAGTGGACAGCACAGGAGGTACGTAGTCCGTCGTGGTATGGAATCGTTATGGTAACCCGTACCATGTTAGGATGGACAGGGTCACTGGGACCTGTTAACAAAAGCATGATTGTCAAAAAAGAAGTTCAGGGTTTCAAAACATTTCAGATGATGTGTGCAGAATCTCACATAGTGGCTATTAGCCATTACCACCAGATTAGTTTTACCTGGAGCATGATATAGGTCACTGAGTATTTATGAAATTTCACATAAACCTGATTATCGGGTGATAATCCACATTCCTATAGTACATGTACACCTCGGGTGATAATCCACATTCCTATAGTACATGTACCCCTCGGGTGATAATCCACATTCCTATAGTACATGTACCCCTCGGGTGATAATCCACATTCCTATAGTAC